TTAGAGAAAAAATATAAAACTGAAGATGCTGGATCTAAAAAATTTCTTGTCGAAAAATTTTTGGAATATAAAATGATTGACTCTAAATCTGTTATTTCCCAAGTTCAAGATTTGCAGGTACTCCTCCATGATTTACATGCTGAAAAAAATGACTGTAAGTGAGTCATTCCAAGTAGCAGCGGTAATTGAAAAACTCCCGCCTTCATGAAGAGATTTCAAAAATTACCTCAAACACAAACGTAACGAAATGAACATGGAGGAGTTGATTGTGCGTTTGAGGATCAAAGAAGATACTAAGAAATCTTAAAGGAGGAACGGGGGACCAAACATGGAAGCTAAGGCAAACATGGTTGAATCAAGTTCAAAGAAGAACATGAAAAGGAAGCACTCAAACTTTGCTCCGAAGAAAAAAGAAAACAACCAGAAGAACAAGAAGTTCAAATGGGACTGCTTCAACTGTGGCAAACCTGGACATCGTGCAATTGACTGTCACAAGCCTAAAAAGTAAAATGACCATACACATTTTGTTGAAACTGAAAATCTGTCTGAAGGTGTTCAAGAAATGCACCTATCTGCTGTAATATCTGAATGTAATAGTGTTGGAAATCCCAGGGAATGGTGGGTGGACACTGGTGCCACTCGCCACATTTGTGCTGAAAAGAATGTGTTTTCTGATTACAAAACTATCAATGGAGAACAACTGTTCATGGGAAATTTCTCATGTTCAAAGGTTGAAGGGCAAGGAAAGGTGACCTTGAAGATGACATCTGGCAAGAAACTCGTCCTCAACAATGTGCTGCATGTGCCGGACATTCGAAAAATCTTATTTCTAGTTATCTTCTTAGCAAGAATAGGTTTAAGTTAGTATTTGTATCTGACAAATTTGTACTAACTAAAAATGGGATGTACGTTGGAAAAGGTTACATGACCGATGGGATGTTCAAGATGAACGTCCTTACTGTTGTACCTAAATTGAACAAGATTAATGAAGCTTCTACTTCTGCGTATATTGTTGATTCTTCTTGTTTACGGCATAAAAGATTAGGACATGCAAACTTTAAATCTGTGCGCAAATTAATAAAATTAAATTTGCTACCTTCTCTAAGTTTCGATCCTAATCACAAATGTGAAACTTGTGTTGAGGTTAAGTTATCCAAAAGACCATTTCCTTCAGTTGATAGAAATACTTTACCTTTAGAATTAATTCACAGCGACATATGTGATTTGAAATTCGTACAAACTAAAGGTGGGAAAAAGTATTTCATCACTTTCATTGACGATTGCACTCGGTACTATTATATTTATCTATTAAAAAGCAAAGACGAGGCTTTGGAAATGTTTAAAAATTATAAGAATGAAGTTGAAAATCAACTTAGCAAATCAATAAAAATTGTTCGAAGTGATAGAGGTGGAGAATATGGAGCGCTGTTTGAAGAATTTTGTTCTCAACAAGGCATCATTTATCAAACAACGGCTTCTTACTTACCTCAATCTAATGGTATTGCGGAATGAAAGAACCGCACGTTTAAAGAAATGATGAATGCTATGTTGATTAGTTCTGGCCTACCACAGAATTTGTGGGAGGCCATCCTCTCGGCAAATCACATTCTTAACAAAATAACACACAAAGAAAAGGATGAAACACCTTACGAATTATGGAAAGGTCATAAACTTTCATATAAATACTTGAAAATGTGGGGGTGTTTGGCAAAGGTAGAAGTGCCAAAACCTAAACAAATAAAAATAGGACCAAAAACTGTAGATTGCATATTTATTGGATATGCTCATAACAGTAGTGCATATCGCTTTCTTGTGCATAAATCCGAGATTAGGATATACATGAAGATACAATAATTGAATCAAGGAATGCAAGTTTCTTCGAAGATGTCTTTCCTCGTAAAGACAAAAGTGATGTAAGTTCAAGAAAACGAACTTACAATACTGCAAATGATGATGAAAATGAAGAAGAACTCAGACGCAGTAAATGGGATAGAAAGTCTACGTCCTTCGGTTCAGAATTTATAACATACATGATCGAAAATGAACCAAAGACATTCAGTGAAGCAATGTCAACATCAGATGCTCCTTTTTGGAAAGAAGCTATCAATAGTAAAATTGAATCGATAATGCAAAATCATACTTGAGAGTTGGTTGATCTCCCACCTGGATATAAACCTCTAGGTTGCAAGTGGATTTTCAAGAAAAAGTTAAAATCGGATGGATCTATTGATAAATACAAAGCTCGTTTGGTAGCAAAAGGATAAAGACAAAAGGAAGGTCTTGATTTTTTTGATACTTACTCACCAATAACGAGGATTACTTCGATAAGAATCCTTATTGCAATTGCTGCGATACATAATCTCGAAATTAATCAAATGGATGCTAAAACAGCTTTTCTAAATGGTGAGTTGGAAGAAAAAATATACATGGAGTAACCTGAAGGATTTATCGCTCATGGACAAGAGAAAAAGGTTTGTAAACTCGTTAAATCTTTATATGGACTAAAATAGGCGCCAAAGCAGTGACACTAAAAGTTTGACAAAACAATGCTGTCAAATAGTTTTAAAATTAACGAGTGTGATAAATGTGTGTATAATAAGAGTACACTGACAGCATATGTCTTAGTATGTTTATATGTGGATGATATGCTAATTCTGGGTAGCAATCATGATATCATTGTCTCTACTAAGAAAATGCTAACAAAACATTTTGACATGAAGGACATGGGTATAGCAGATGTAATTCTTGGAATTAAAATTTCTAAAACACCAGATGGCCTCGTTCTTTCACAATCTCATTATGTTGAGTCTGTGCTAAAGAGATTTGGAGTTTTTGATGAAAGTCCAGTCAAAACTCCGGTAGACACGAGTCTACATTTAGCAAAAAATAGAAGTGAACCTGCACATCAATTAAGATATTCTCAGGTTATTGGAAGTCTGATATATTTAATGAACTGCACACGTCCTGACATTGCGTTCGCAATTAATAAATTGAGTAGGTTCACATGTAATCCAAGCAATGATCACTGGAAGACATTGAATATGGTACTTCGATACTTAAAACATACCTTAAAATTTGGATTACATTATATGAGATATCCAGCAGTATTAAAAGGATATTGTGATGCAAATTGGATATCTGATATGAAAGATTCTAAATCCACAAGTGGTTATATATTTACACTTGGTGGTGCGGCAGTGTCTTGGAAATCTTCAAAGGAAACTTGCATAGCTTGATCAACAATGGAATCGGAGTTTATTACATTAGATAAAGTTGGAGAAGAAGTAGAGTGACTTCGTAACTTCTTAGAGGGTATCCCGTGTTGGCCTAAGCCGGTGCCTGCAATTAGTATTCACTATGACAATCAGTCTGCTATTGCAAGGGCACAAAATTGCATGTATAATGGTAAGTCTAGACATATACGTCGTAGACACAATACCATAAAGCAGTTGATCTCAAATTGTATTATCTCAATTGATTATGTGAAATCAAAGGAGAATCTCGTGGATCCGCTTACAAAAGGTCTAACAAGAGATCAAGTATATTATCTATCAAAGGGAATGAGATTAAAGCCGAACATGCACGAATCTTGATGATGGTAACCCAACCTTGTTGACTGGAGATCCTAAGATCTTGGTTCAATAGGACAACTAAGTTATTAAGACTCAATTAAGCACTTAACCATCCCTTTATAAAAAGTGCTGTTTGCGGAAAGTAAAAGACTATGTTGTAACTTTTAATGATTCCTATAGTTTGGATAAATCAAGTGGGGTATAGCAGAATACTCTTAATAGGAGATAACCTATATAAGCGTGAAGTGGGGCCGTTTCTATGAGAATTTGGGGCTTAAAATTCTCTAAAACACTTATGAATCCCAAGAATTGTTCAGGGCCAAAATGAACACAACTATGAGAACCTAAGAATTGAATAGAAAGGTTATTGTGTGGATACTATTGCCTTGGTTTACACCAACGGCTGAACAGTTTAAGACATCAGTTCACTGATTAGCCAAGTAAACTCGATAGTATTCCACTAAGGCAGGTTCAAAGCCAAAAGCTACCTCTCTTGATGCAATAAGTCTTTCGCCTGTACTTTCTGTTCGTGTCTGCATTGCATAGTTATGATAATTTCCATTCATGTGGGGGATTGTTGGAAATGGTGGGTTAATTAGGTTAACTTTGACCACAATTTTAAGTGAGACCTGATGTTCGATGTATCGAAATTAATGTTTAATTAAATTCTACGTTACGAGTAGATGAGTGTAGAATATTTAATTATGAAAAACCACTTCAATATGAATGAGAAATTACAGTTGAAAGTTGGTTAATAAATAAGAGGAATAAATGCGAAAGAATTGGAAAAATATTCCAATCCCACATAGGTTGCAAACACAACCTTGAACCACTTAATAAATTTCAAGTTTGGATATGGGTTTGGGCCCCAAGGGATACCAATAGTATTTGAAAGGGGGGAGTCTTAGACAATGTTTAGACTAATCCAAAGGCCACACGCGTGCGTGCCACCGTCCGATCGGCCGGCCGGGTCGAGTAGTGGATGTGGGTATGGGTCTGTGTTAATATTAATTAAAATTTTTTTTTTGGTTTTATTTTAAATTCAATTAATTCCATCCCTTTGATAGTTTATTAACCGACCCATCAGTTTGCTAAAACTGTGCGTTAAGTGGACGTGAGTGGTGGATGAAAACTGCTCAACCGTCAACTCTCTCCTCTATTTGAATAGTCCTCATGTTTTCAATTTTAAAACACACACAGAAATATCACGAAATCATTCTGCATACATACTCTTCTTCTTTGCAATAGTCTACAGAGAGTACTTCCGTTCTGGTTCGTTGTATTGCAGTCGAAGTGCTGCTTCTACAAGTATCTGATCGTTGTATCTTAGGAGACGCTTTACCACATACCGTAAGCACCGTCCGACGGGGTAAAAACGTTTTAAGGACAAAGAGCCTAGTTCTCAACTCGATCTTCCTCATTCCGAATTCTGGACTTCTTCGTGCTTCTATTTTATTTTGTGCAATTCATTTTCTGAAATGATATTCTATTTTTACTGTTTTGAAATTGTTCATCTGGTTTGGCAAGTTATGGAAAATCTGTTGGGTACAACAAATTCGAAAACAACAATCAACACGGTGTGCCGCCGTGTTCCCGCGATTGAAATGTTATCATCTTCAATTTTTATCAAGGGCGCAATTCCAACAGTAGCCGGTGATCGGAGAAACTGCCCCCAAATTCCTATCATTCGAGCTGGTTCATTAGCCTCCGCTAAATATGATAACGATACCAATGAACACTATTTCTGCAGGAAGTCGGCTAATTACTGGGACAAGTTCTACAAGCGCCATAAGAACAAGGTTTCTTGATTTTTCGGTCTCACTTGAAGCTAATTGGCAGCCCCTCTTTTTTTTTTAAATTTTTTTTTTTTTATAACTTATAGCTCGATATTCAAGCTGAAATTGTTTTCGAAATTGCAACGCAGTTTTTCAAGAACAGGCACTACCTGGAGAAGGACTGGGGCAATTATTTTTCGGTTACGGATGATGATGTTAATGCGAAGGTTCTTTTAGAGGTGAAGATGGTTATTTTACATATTAAACGATACGCTGGTACAAGTTACTGTAGACGGTAGCTGTAGTGTTTGACATAATGTGCCACTGAAATATTGCGATATGTTTGAATAAGCTTAGAGCTACTTTTGAGTAAATTTTTTGTCTGAACACGTTTGATATTTGTTACATTTTTTTATTTTTTATTTTTAAAGATTCTCATTTCAAAAACTTACGTTTCAAAATAGTCTTTACTTATTTTGGGAAAAATACTTTTAGTATTTTACTTTTTTAACCTTAACTGAACATGCTCTTAATTGGTTGCTGAGTGAATTTCAGGTGGGCTGTGGAGCTGGGAACAGTCTCTTTCCCCTCATTGCTGCATATCCTAAACTCTTTGTTCATGCTTGTGATTTTTCCCTCCAGGCTGTAACTCTTGTTAAGGTTTGTGAACTTTTTTTCCACCTTGTCTTCGAGATTAATAATCTCACAACCCCTTAAGCGGAAATGGAAAAAATCAAGATGCTTCAAGGATACGAGAACTTTTGTGTTTGTACACTTGCTGCTTTTCAATTGATTTGTGATTTTTAAGTTTATGCAAATAATAGTTATGCTATTGCAGTCTATCAGCTGATGGGAGTTTCATGCTTAACATTTGGTGTCTGATCGATTGCAGTCGCATTCAAATTTCAGTGAAGCCCAAATAAATGTATTCCTCTGTGATGTTGCAAATGATGACCTCACTGAGAAAGTTCTTCCATCCTCTGTTGATGTTGTTACCTTGGTAAGTTAAATTCATGGGACAAGAGTAAATGTTATTGTTAAAGATCTGGAGGATGTCAGATATTGAAATAATCACAGACAATGAAGGAAATGTCAGGAAGAAATATTATGGAATTATTGTCATGAAAATTATTTTTTTGATAAAGGTGTGACACGTGCACAATTTTATTGAATGGACGGCGGCAAAACTGGGAATCAGTTGTTTTGCCTAGCTCTGATACCGTGCTAAGCATCTCATCTAACAACTTTAGCTATTATAGATGCCCATATATAGTTAATTTAAATGTTGTCTTCAACAGTTGCCTAACTACTTGTTAACTGGTTTTGCAGATTTTTATGTTGTCTGCAGTTTCTCCGAATAAGATGCTTTCAGTGGTACAAAACCTTAAGGATGTACTAAAGGTAGTGTTAATTTTTCAGTTGCATTACTACTATTCTTTTTACTTTTCTCCTTTCATTTCTTGGATGTTCTATTTACATGGAATTATCATCTCATGGATATCTTAATTTGCAGCCAAATGGTCACATTCTTTTCAGAGATTATGCTGTTGGAGATTCTGCTCAAGTTAGTTCCTTCCCATAGGTCCAGATCATTTGTTGACTTAAGATGTAAAAACAATAAAGCAGATGCACTTCTTTTTTCCCAATTCGTGTTCACCTTCTCATAGTAGTTCTATGTTTCCTCTCGACCAAGCAATTAAGATGATGCTTTATCCCAGAGTAAATCCTTTGATATGCATAATTGATTACATTCTTAGCCAACAAAATTCTCAAAGTGATAAGTGAAATTTTTACCAGGGACTGTTTTGATTTGTCAAATATCCCAGATTCAATGGATTCAAGGCCATTTCTTTTGAAGAACTAGTGCAAAAGACGTGTTGATATCCGTTATTAATTGCATCCTGTTATCCATATTTCTTGTCTGTCCCGTCTTTCTTTTCTTTCTATCCGTCTTGCTTCATATTGAGCATGTTTGGCTAAGTTATTTTTTCCTTTTTAAGTAGGCAAAAAGTTATTTGGAAAGTAACTTATTTATTTTTAAATTTGATTTGTAAAAACAGTTATTATTTACTTATATATGTATATATAAACTTGCTATTGAATAGCAAGCTTCATGCCTTCTTGGCATATATCTGAAGAGCAAAATTTTCAGGCGAAATTAGAGAACAAGAACCAGATGATCAGTGATAATTTTTATTTTAGAGGGGATGGCACGGTAAGTATTTGGCAGATTTTGGATTGTGAAATTCATGTTGTTGAGTTACTTGATTAGCCTTAGTTCTGATGGTTTTCTTTAATTTACAGTGCTCGTTTTATTTCTCCGAGGATTTCTTGTCCAGTTTGTTCATAAGAGCTGGCTTTAACATTGTGGATATGAACACATACTGCAGACAAATGGAGAATCGTTTTCATAATATTTCAGTTCAGCGGTATGTCCACTTCTTATGACATTAGAGATCAGTATGTTGTTATATCCAGTTTTATTTATAAGTAAATAAAGTTTTATTCATCAAAGTTGAAAATGAGTATGTTACTTATTTTGATAAGTAAATTTTTTAACTTAAAAATTAAGAAAAAATAAGCATAACTAATATGTTTGGGGGCAAAAAAGTTGCACTTTTTCTCACAAAATTAAATTTTAGCATTTCCCCTTGCTACACCTTCGGTGATGTTATGTACTCTATTGCAAGATAGCCGTTGGATTCGTGCCATTTTCAGCAAGCCATGATCACAAGCTTCCTTATTCCGTTCTTATATGAATGGAGACCAGATTGGCAGCTAGCTAACTACTGAAAGCACGAGGTTATTACAAGTAGTCATTTGTTACATTATTTGGTCGTCACTCCATGTATCATTTGACAAATAATTGATATTTTTTCCTTTGTCCTAGTCGTCGTCTTCGTCGACACGAGCCTGCTTTTTCAGGTGCTTACTCCTGGAACATGCCTAGAATTGGCTCATTTTGCGGTTTCGCGTGAACGAACCTCAGATGGTTCTTTTATTTGTGGTCATTTGTACCCTTGAATGGACTAATTCTTTTTGTAATTCATAATGCAAATTCTCTTGTTTGTTTTGTCTTTTCTAAAATTACCCAAAAGTGTGTTTATACTGACATTATAATTTTACTTATAATCATATTTGTGTAAATTGTAATCGATCTTATGTTTTTTGCATTCTTGTTTTCAATCTTCCATTAATTAATATCTTCTTGTTGATGATAGTTTCCATTCAAACATTTTGTAATGCAGTCAAGAAAATTGTCTTTTAGTGCTTTGCACATTATACGTGGCAGTTGCTTCGTTGTCAAGTTGTCCAATGAAATTTTATTTATTTGATAATGTGATAGTGACACCAATGTATATAGTGCGCTTAGCATCCCTAGTGCTATAGGTGCTTAATGTTTGCTAAATAACATTTTCAAAATTAATTTTTTATTTTACTGAAAAAAAAAGTTAATAATAAAAGTTGACTATAATAAAAAATTTATTATTTATTTGGTTGTTGATACGAAAAATTTAATTTTATGTGTTTAACATACACAATGTATGAATATTAAAATAATTAAAATCAAAGAAGAAAAAGATTCATCCCTTATTTGGTGGGGATTAAAATTAGAATTTTGGTAGATTTTGATAGAAATATTTGAAATGTGTAGTTGAAAGGTTATAGGATTCATAAAAAATGTGATTAATAATAATCAGATTTAAATTGAAATTTGATTTAAATAAATACCAAACAATGGCTTAATTTTGTACTATTAAAACTAAACTAATTTGAAACAAATTGTTCCTAAAAAAATCATTACGACAAAAGTTGTCCATCCAACCTATGTACTTTTAAATTTATTTTATGTCAATTTTTTTTGTTATGTTTAAATAACATTGAACATGATTTCAACTTTCATTTATAAATTCGAACACTCCATATTTAGAGCCTGTATGGGAGTGATTTTGAGAATTGATTTTTTGACCGTTGAAAAAAGTGGGGTTCACCTGTGAGAGAAGAAGTCAAATATGACGACTGAAATAGTAAAATAACGATAAAAAATCAATTTTTTTGGTGAAAAAATCGCTTCCAAACTGGCCCTTACTCAACGATCATGAAACGTGTTTCCTTTCTTCAACTCATCTTGTGGGTAAAAATGATTTCCATTAATTTCACAGGAGTGCCACAATTATAAATACTTGATAAAATGAGTGCAACTCAACCCAAGGTTGGGACCCTAATGGAAAGTAATTTACCATAGATTTCCTTGGGTTTCTTGTCGTTTGCAACGTCGGAGTATAAAAAGGTACCAGTTGCCTTTTTTACACTAATCTTCTCCGTAACTCATCTCTTCAGTTCAGGGTAAGAAATGACATATATGTTTTTTTCTCCAGAATCATCAAATTGTTAATTGTTTTAAACCCTTTTCATTCTTTTCTTTACTTGTAAGTATCTGGCTTTAGTTAGAAATATTCTCTCAAACGGTCCGCTTAGTATTTACGTTTTCTTCTTATTTTCTTCAAGGGTTTTTCTTCTTAGATTTCTTATATATCAGTATTACATGTCAAAGAACTGGTTTTTTTTGGCTTGTTACTGATTCCCTCCCATTTTCGGTGCAATTCATGTTAAAATTTTGAACTGTTTTATCTTTCTTATTGCTGTAGAAATTTTTTAACAGAATACTCTCAGAGTAGGCTGAAGTTTTGCTTACTTTTTGTGTTTTTCCAAAGAAAAAGCTGCAGCTGGATTAAATATATGATGGTAAAGCAGCGATCACATTTGATCTGGTGTTAATCTGCAGTAAGGTTTTTTCTGGAATTTTGGTCGAAGTTCTTTTAGTAATAAATTGTCTATGTTTTTTGGGTATCCAATAAAATTATTTCTTTTTAAGAATAGTGGAAATTTTGTGGAAGGACTTCAAGTGCCTTTTGGCACGGAACTTGATAGAAGTGGACAAAATAATAAACAAGTTTTCATTGTAATTTTCTTCCTTAGGTACTTTCTGATACTAACTTACTGTTCTCAGTAGATATGCCCATCTGATCAACGTTTTTCAGGCATAACAATTGATTAATTTCTTAAGACATGTTTGTAGTGCCCTTTCATGTGTAGATTTTATGTGCACTTGCTGAATTATCGGCTGACCAGGCTTGCCATAATGGTATTCTGTTTTATGCATGTTGAATTTAACTGATGTATTTTTCATTCACACTGATAATAAAATCTCATTACGAGGAATCTGATATGTTTCATGTACCGCTATCTTCAAGAAAAAAATTAGGCATGTCGTCTTGTGGAAATGCCGAAATCGAGTTTCTATAGGACATGGATTTGTATACTGATTGCTTGCCTTAGCTTTCTTCTAATTCTTGAACTATTAATCACATGTTTGTTACGCTGTACTGGATAGAATTGAACATTCCAAACATTGGATAAATGTTTTATGAAGTTTAGTACATATGATGGCTGCTTGGTTGATGCTATTTGTTACAGGAGTTAGAGAGGAGGAAAATTAAGGATATCATCGTGCTCCATACCTAATTCATTATATCGGAAAACATGGATCAAAGTATGTTACCGTGTACAATTACTCGTGTTTTAAACCTCCTCTCCTGGAATGTTTTCTGTTATGCAAATTGGGCATTTATATTGTTAGTTCTGTTACGAGTGTGACCACCACATCAATGGAACTGGCTTGTTTCGACAACATCATTCCAAACCGTGTTTTCTATGTTATTATATTTTTTTCCTTTTAGTACATTTTTTAGATAGTTGCTTGTTTATACAAATTCTATTTTCCTTTTCTTTTTAGATCTCTTTTTCTCATGACGATTACCTTCAAATTGGTAGTCAATTTTGTGCTGTAAGCTCTACCTTCTAGCTAAGTGGCTCAAGGAATTTTAATGAGTACAGGATTTCTAAAAGATGACAATCAGCATCAGAATGAAGATTATGCTTCCATTAGAGGTGTGGAAGACAATCATTTAGGCATCTATGACAAACCACTCCCTTGCTTTGGCTGTGGAATTGGATGGTTTTTGTGAGTTTTGAAATCCTTATGTGCCGTCAACTCCAATTTATTTCCCTTTTTCACATGTATGTATTCTCTGCAGTCTTCTACTCGGGTTTGTATGCCCTTTGTTGTGGTATTATGCCACTATTCTTTACTTCGGAAAGTATTATCACAAAGATCCTAGAGAACGAATGGGGCTTTCTGCAAATGTAATAGCTGTAAGTGCTCCCTTGATGCTTATTTACTTTTGGTGTCATTAGTAGGCAAAAATTTAACGTAAGCACACCAGTCTCTCTCTATCCTATGCTGCCCATCCTGATAGCTTTGACATCTTCTTTTTCATTGTTGTGCAGCGTGGAAAAAAGAAAAAAGGAAATACTTTGCCCAATTTTTTTATTTTTTTATTTTTTCTCTTTGTTACTTAAGCATTGTAGAGTTATAATTTTGTCACCTTTTACAGTTATGGAAACATCTTATTTTCAATAGGAAAACTATTTAGCATGGAGTCTCTGGTGGGAGGCTTTGATGGCGGGCTATTAGTTCAATGGTAGAGGAGCCCCCTGATAATGGTGTCGTGTTAATCTTGTTTGGACAATTTGAGATATTTTGTTGTTTTAACCTTGCTGTAAGTCTATTATCAGCATGTTTGGTAAAGCTTAAAAGTTGCAACTTTTGTGCTAGATTCTTTCATAAATGGAAAATTGCCATTTGCCAATTATATTTTGAATTACTGCTTGTCTATGACATTGTTGTGTAGTTTGGATCTTGCTTCATACAATCTGATTTATCTTGCAGGCTTTGATATTTACTGTGGCAGTGGTGATTACGATTGCTGTTGTTGTCTTCTAAAAGCTCATTGATGCACTTCTGCGTTATCCTTAAAAAAATAATGTGTTTATGCTAATATTTACAAGTTACAAAAGATGGCAACTACTTTAGGCCATCTTTCATGTAGTTTTATAGTCAAAACTCCTAATTGATGATTCTCCGGGAGGTTTCTGCATCACTAAGTACATATGTGTTTTAGTTTACCCAATATCCCCAGGGAAGTAAGGTAGATCCACTAAGACTTGAGTTGGGTTTGAACTCCTCTCCCCTAGTAACATTTTTTCTTATTTTCTAACTTGAATAGATACTCTCATGACATTGGGCGTGTGGTTTTGTCTTGTTCTAGGGAGACAGACTGACATATGGTACGGCTTGGTTTACACCTCTAGAGTGTTGATTTGTAATGAAAGATTCTCAAGTTATGGGTCATTATGAAGGTTATAATCATGTGTCGATTGTGCTAATTTTCTTTCACGAGTTATTTCTTCGTGCAAGAGATTACCCATTTCCTTCAATAATCTTGTTGAAACGTTTGTTTTGGGTCTCCCATGTCGTGGACAAACCTTGGATGTCAACATAATGTAATCCCTATTTTCATTTATTTCGAATAGATTCATCCCCCTTAGGAGCATTTGAATGAATGTTGATGTTTTAGTAACGTTAGTTTGTCTGTACACGCACCTGAGATTCTTCAATTCATAAGTCAACAATCTATCAGGTGCACGTTAATTCATTACTCTCTCTGGGCACATGTAACTGTTGACAAACATATTAGTTCACCTCACGGGACCTCATAAGCAACATTCTAATCGGAAATGAAGTACTAGTCTTGATCACAGAACATTACAGAGCTGAAATTCCTACTGAATGGTAGAAAAAACATGATATTCCAAGTAACATGGGGCTCTACTTGCGAAATCTAGAATGAAATAATACTATACTCCGAAGAACGAACCCCCTGATAATGAACACGAAATCACAGGTTAATGCTAAAGATAAATAGACAATTAAAAACGAGAGCGGCCTGATCAACAACAGCAGTTAGCAGAGTTTGAGGACCATATTCTACATCAGGGTCGAGCTCTCTTGTTGGTGCAAGAAGGACACTTGTAATGCTTGATATGCTCAGCCCTAGCAGGGGTAATCTTCACACACTTGCCATGGAACCACTTCTCACAAATGTCACAGCAGATCCAAAATTCATCTGATGCATAGTTTTCTCCACAGGAGCCACAGAGTGTTTCCCCATGTTCTTCATCTTCTTCCTCATCAAACACTTCTTCTTCTTCATCCTTCGGCTGTGACTTTGGATATTTTTCCGGAGATTCCAATCCCTGCTGCTTGTCATAAAATAATGCCAAGTGACTATATCAACAAGAAGAAGGGGAGGGGGGACGGATGTTTATAACATACGTATATAAAGCATGTTTAGCTAAGCCTTTCCTATAACTTTTTGACAAAAGGGCAATTATCCTGGCCAGCTTCTCATTAAAATCCACTTACATTTTACGATTAGATATACCAAGGTCTGTTATATAAAAGGTGAAAAACACCATTTCCTGGGGACTGATGTATTGCACATGAAACACACTTACCGGCTTAGAGTTTGACTTTGATTTGTTGCTACTGTGGTTGGAGACCGAAGACTTCTCTTTCTGTTGTTTCTTTGCAGCACCAGTCACAACTTCAAATACTGTAGGGAGTTCATTGATCATGTTGAAAAGCCGTTTCCTGGGAAACAAAATTTCAAATTTGATTCATAATTGGAAAATGAGAAAAAAGAACAATGATCTTTGACTAAAATTCAATTGTAATAAGGAAGATGCTTAAACAGTATGTCAAAGGGCTAAAATCATTTGCATCAACTGTGTATGCTTTGATGACTCTGTCTAATGCCCAGAGAAATTATTCATCCCCTCAACCCTTTTTCAAAACTAAAATTATATAAACCTCCTGATTTCCATCCACACAACTATCTTTCATACAACACTTGGAAACATTTTGAACTTGAGGAGCCAACGCATATCGCACAAACAGAATCTAGCTGTGTTTAGAAGTTCAAACCATGAACATGTTTGGCTGAGCATAAAACAAGGTACAGTTTTACGAAACATGTTTAGATAACTTACTTAAATAGAAAAAAGTTACTTTTTTTTTTTTTTTTAAAAGTAGCTTTACTTTGATCTCAAAATAAGTAACTTGCTTATTTACAATTCTCATCAATAACAAAAATATTTAGTTTAAAGGTTAATTATGTATAACTTTTTAAGCTAAACCAAATATTTTCGAAATAAAGACAGCATTTAATATATACCTGTCAGCTTTATCAAAACCAAATCTAGATCCAAAATAAAAGGCAACAGCAAGCAACCAGGCATCACTGTGAACAGCAACCAGAGATAACCAATCCTTCTCTTGCATCCCGTCTCTAGCAAAATTGATCCCTAGAGCAGGCTCAGGGAGTTCTGGAGGTACTTCTTCAGCAGGCAAATTGACCTCCCACTGCTCACTAGGAAGTCCATACAAGCACAAATTCTCCTTCTCTATAAAGCACAAGCAGCACACGTACTTAAAAATAATAATAGCATGGGTGGAAAAAAAGAAAAGATGACAGTTTGCAAAACATAACATAGTTTACAAGTGGAAAGGACTACGACAACATAACTCACCAGCACTTGTGTGACAGATAGAGGAACAAATGAATTTACAATAAAATCACCATGCAAGTATACTTTGGCAAATGTGAATACCATAATGCTAAACATGGATGTTGCAACATCATAACAGATATTAGTTGAATGCAAAGCAATGGGAAAATATCTTATAGGGATCTTATAATGTGAATGGCACAACAAAAAATGGATAATGACTAAACTGAGACTGGATATCAAGTTTACCAATTTTCTAAAATATAAATTTTCCATTAGATACTTATTTGCTTGGAGATGGTTTACTTTTAACCTTCAAGCCTTTGTTAATAATTTTTCACCAGAAGAATACATTGTATTCTGCAGTGGCTTGGGAAAGATTAAAGGGAAGAAATACTAGAAACCTTAAAAATGGAAATATATCCATAAAGAGAAATCATTATCTTGAATCCTTGATAAAAAAAAAAAAATTTTTAAAAAAATAAATTGCTACGAATTAATCTAAAAAACCTTAAAATAATGTTTCAGGTAGAGAAATGCATATCTCAGAAACCAGACCCCATAGAATATGAATGAAGAAGACGTAACATGGGGCTCTACTTGCGAAATCTAGAATGAAATAATACTATACTCCGAAGAACGAACCCCCTGATAATGAACACGAAATCACAGGTTAATGCTAAAGATAAATAGACAATTAAAAACGAGAGCGGCCTGATCAACAACAGCAGTTAGCAGAGTTTGAGGACCATATTCTACATCAGGGTCGAGCTCTCTTGTTGGTGCAAGAAGGACACTTGTAATGCTTGATATGCTCAGCCCTAGCAGGGGTAATCTTCACACACTTGCCATGGAACCACTTCTCACAAATGTCACAGCAGATCCAAAATTCATCTGATGCATAGTTTTCTCCACAGGAGCCACAGAGTGTTTCCCCATGTTCTTCATCTTCTTCCTCATCAAACACTTCTTCTTCTTCATCCTTCGGCTGTGACTTTGGATATTTTTCCGGAGATTCCAATCCCTGCTGCTTGTCATAAAATAATGCCAAGTGACTATATCAACAAGAAGAAGGGGAGGGGGGACGGATGTTTATAACATACGTATATAAAGCATGTTTAGCTAAGCCTTTCCTATAACTTTTTGACAAAAGGGCAATTATCCTGGCCAGCTTCTCATTAAAATCCACTTACATTTTACGATTAGATATACCAAGGTCTGTTATATAAAAGGTGAAAAACACCATTTCCTGGGGACTGATGTATTGCACATGAAACACACTTACCGGCTTAGAGTTTGACTTTGATTTGTTGCTACTGTGGTTGGAGACCGAAGACTTCTCTTTCTGTTGTTTCTTTGCAGCACCAGTCACAACTTCAAATACTGTAGGGAGTTCATTGATCATGTTGAAAAGCCGTTTCCTGGGAAACAAAATTTCAAATTTGATTCATAATTGGAAAATGAGAAAAAAGAACAATGATCTTTGACTAAAATTCAATTGTAATAAGGAAGATGCTTAAACAGTATGTCAAAGGGCTAAAATCATTTGCATCAACTGTGTATGCTTTGATGACTCTGTCTAATGCCCAGAGAAATTATTCATCCCCTCAACCCTTTTTCAAAACTAAAATTATATAAACCTTATGATTTCCATCCACACAACTATCTTTCATACAACACTTGGAAACATTTTGAACTTGAGGAGCCAACGCATAACGCACAAACAGAATCTAGCTGTGTTTAGAAGTTCAAACCATGAACATGTTTGGCTGAGCATAAAACAAGGTACAGTTTTACGAAACATGTTTAGATAACTTACTTAAATAGAAAAAAGTTACTTTTTTTTTTTTTTTTTAAAAGTAGCTTTACTTTGATCTCAAAATAAGTAACTTGCTTATTTACAAGTCTCATCAATAACAAAAATATTTATTTTAAAGGTTAATTATGTATAACTTTTTAAACTAAGCCAAATATTTTCGAAATAAAGACGGCATTTAATATATACCTGTCAGCTTTATCGTAACCAAATCTAGATCCAAAATAAAAGGCAACAGCAAGCAACCAGGCATCACTGTGAACAGCAACCAGAGATAACCAATCCTTCTCTTGCATCCCGTCTCTAGCAAAATTGATCCCTAGAGCAGGCTCAGGGAGTTCTGGAGGTACTTCTTCAGCAGGCAAATTGACCTCCCACTGCTCACTAGGAAGTCCATACAAGCACAAATTCTCCTTCTCTATAAAGCACAAGCAGCACACGTACTTAAAAATAATAATAGCATGGGTGGAAAAAAAGAAAAGATGACAGTTTGCAAAACATAACATAGTTTACAAGTGGAAAGGACTACGACAACATAACTCACCAGCACTTGTGTGACAGATAGAGGAACAAATGAATTTACAATAAAATCACCATGCAAGTATACTTTGGCAAATGTGAATACCATAATGCTAAACATGGATGTTGCAACATCATAACAGATATTAGTTGAATGCAAAGCAATGGGAAAATATCTTATAGGAATCTTATAATGTGAATGGCACAACAAAAAATGGATAATGACTAAACTGAGACTGGATATCAAGTTTACCAATTTTCTAAAATATAAATTTTCCATTAGATACTTATTTGCTTGGAGATGGTTTACTTTTAACCTTCAAGCCTTTGTTAATAATTTTTCACCAGAAGAATACATTGTATTCTGCAGTGGCTTGGGAAAGATTAAAGGGAAGAAATACTAGAAACCTTAAAAATGGAAATATATCCATAAAGAGAAATCATTATCTTGAATCCTTGATAAAAAAAAAAAAATTTTTAAAAAAATAAATTGCTACGAATTAATCTAAAAAACCTTAAAATAATGTTTCAGGTAGAGAAATGCATATCTCAGAAACCAGACCCCATAGAATATGAATGAAGAAGACGGAAGATGAATGAACATGACACCAAAAAGAATGTATTGGGTTTCAGATGAAGAGAAGAGGTTCATGTAGGATCCCTTTCTAACATGTATTAAATGTCCATCCAAGCATGGTAGCAGTGGGAACTTTTCTAGTAGTTCACCTTCTTCCTCTTTTTTTAGTTATACCTTACAGAATGAATTTAATCTCGTTCGTAGGATAGGATCCTATCCCAAATTTTCTTTTGCCAGGCCCATAAAAAATCCAGATATTGAGGAATTGTCCATACATAAATCATAATTAGGGTGTGTTTGATAGGAAGGAAATTCCATAGCAAATGGAATTCGAATTTCAACTTTCCATTTTTTGGGTGTTTGATTGGCAAAAATTCCCTTGGAATTCATTTTCCACATTTTCATGCCACGTAGACATTTTCCATGTTTTGGAGGAAAATGAATTCTCATCAAAATGGTGAGAATTCATTTTTCGGTTTACTGTAGCATTTTTTTTTCGCGTTTATTTATTTTGTTGAAAATTGAAACAAATTTTAAGAATTATTGTAAAAAAATATTTTCCTTTAATTGGCAATTTTCATGTAAAAGAAAGCCAAAAGAACATCATAAGATAAATGATTTTCTTGATTTTTTATTTTTTTATAATGGAAACAAATTTTATCCCCAATACTAGTAAAATCTATTTCTTTAATTGAAAAATTTTCATGTAAAACAAAGTCAAATGAACACAAAAAAACACTTTTATTTCAGCATTTTTCACATGAAAAATTATACCAATCAAACACAATAATTTATGATTCCCAAGAAAACAATTTCTAGGCAATTCAATTCACTGGAATTCGTTTTCTTTCCAACCCAAATTCCATATTTGCAATCAAACGGACCCTTATAGATACGGGCTTTCATACAATGCAAGAAAAAGTTCCTAGATTCATGGAGATATAGAATAGCATACAAGTTATCATGAAGAACCCAACGGGCCTTTTCCCCTCGAATTAGTAGTCTCTCAAAATTCAATTCAAATTAGCCGTATTTTCCTTTCTTCTTCCAACCTTTCGATCTTCCCATCCATTTCATGTGGGTCCTTCTTCCCCGCTAACAGCTCTTCTGCTTAGAAACGAAATGTTCCTAAAAATTCTTGCTCCCATTAGAACTCTAATTCTTTAAAACCCAACAAACATTTTTCCCTCAAATCAGAAAAACAAAGAAGGGATCGCTTGGTGATAAAGGAGGTAGGGGAGATCTTCGATGGATCTCTCTTGTTCCCGTTTTGTTCCCTTCATTTCGGTTGCGCTCGTTGTAGGAATTAACCTAACACCATACGGCACGTGTTGACGATAGCTATGCACCTATACTTGTTGAAGGTGAAGTTGTTTTTTATTTAATTACATGTGGTAAACATATATCTTATTCCAATTTTGTGGAGCTAAAGTGAGACTAGATTGGATCTACACGTCCCTCCTAATAATATCCATAAATGACTTGTTTTTGGTATGATGCTCACCCATTGTGGCACACAACCAGGCTATCTAAAGCTATTGACAAATGAATGTCAGATTCAAGAAAATAAGTGCATGATAAATTGCACGTGTTTGTCACGTAGCTGTAGGGGGTAAAATTAAGCAAGCGTTAATCATCTACAGACAAACACTTCAAACAATCATTAGCGTCAGTATCTTATTTCTATTTTCACTACTACTAAAAGACAATAAGAAGTGCTTTGTTATGCTATAATCATTAAACCAAACAAAAAATGTCTCTATGATGAGAAATTTTGCAGGAACGGAGAGAAAACATAATTTGCACCACTTGGCATTTAATAAAACCAAAAAAATAAAAAATCCAAATACAGAAACATATTAGAAGTTACAAATGATATGATAAATGCAGACCACACCAGCAATTACATCCAACTCTACAGAGAGACATTTGATGGTACAATAGTCAACGGCCGGGAGTCTGCCATTTAAAGCAAGACTATTGATAGGGTTCTATTTCTGTAACACCCCGAAAATTCGTTATACTCGTTAATATTAGAAATTAGGACCTTATAGTGAGAAGTTGAATATCTAAGGACCAAATTGTTTGGTTTATGTAATTTAGGGATCAAATCGTGGACTATTCATAGTCACGGACATAATTGAATTTTTCTAGGATCACTTTCTTTTTTCAAGCCTTTGATTGCCACCATAATTATATTCTTTATATTAATCATATGCTTAATTAGAAAATCAATTGGTTTTTGGAATAATGAATTAGATTAGGTAATTACTATGTGTGTGTGTGTGTGTGTGTGTATAACTAAAATAGTTTAGGTAATTACCATAATTATATGTATGTATATATGTTAAATGTGCAAGATTATAGTAAGAATAATCATAAATGCCATAAACATGGAGCCAATAAGAAAAATTCCATTTTCACAGAAGGAAAGATTCCATTATTCCATCCATGACAATATTAAATTATTTTCACACATACACTCACGGCATTCACCTTTCTCACACAACAAAAGTCATTTCATTTGTCCTACACACAAGAATTCATAAGTGGGCCCTTAATAGTCAAATACTTCACACTCATTTTATCAAATTCCATTCAAATTACAAGGTAAGTGATGTTGTATGTGGTTTATGTGACCTTGTACTTTGTACTTTAAATTTTGAAATTCGTTTTATAGGCCATATATGTTTATGATAAGAGGGTCAGAGTTTAGTAGTGCTACGCATAGGCATTACTACCACCTATGTTCGGAGTAGTTCATGTGTCTCCTATATGTATGATATGAAATCCCGTTTTCCTTAGTTTAAATGCAAATTACTTGTTCACTGCACACACTTATTGAGATTTTCTTAAATCTCACCCTTTAAGCCCCTCCCCCCCGCCCCCCTCCCTTCAGGTAATTAGAGATCAGGAGTTTGGAGCTGGAAATCTATTGGTGGTGGCAGAATCTTTTTATTTTAAAAAGGGGAATTCATATTCTCAAAAGATTTTTAAATAATTGGTTATTGTTTTGGAATAAATGTTCTTTTTATTTTATTTTATCTTGAAAGACATTTTTTATTGATAAATAAATGAATGTTATATTTTTTTCTGTGTTTAATATGTTATTTTCTGATTAAGTAACACTTAGTCCTTTTCAAGAACTTGGGATGTTACAACGATAATCCTTGGTTACCCACCCAAACTGCTAAATCTTCATTTATCGTGGACATTATACTCAACAGTACTAGAACCACAATTGCAAGCATAAATGAAAAAATCCAAAGCGTATTGCGTTGCACACGATTGTTTTGCCCAAAACAGTTAAAGAACTGAAATTCAAATAAAAGCTAGAAGTTATACTTACAACGCATTGGTTACAAATTACAAGAAAATTAGTAAAGATCATAATAGTAGCTCACTATTTCAGTAAAGAATCACCAAAATCAGTCATGTTCCCAAAAATAGTTTAGACTATTTAATAAAATTTAAAACATAGATGCATACTCTGCACCCGTAACTCGCATTTATTTTGGAACCAAATACTTCCAAAAAAATATTAGAAGTTGTAGACAAAAGATGCGACCATAATCATGAAAAACCTATAATTGCAGTCCACACAACGCGTGCAACTTTGACTTTTCAAACAAACCGTTAAAAATTGACACGCCATCTACTCGTATGCTTTTATGGCAGAAGTGTGATGGAGTGCCGCAAATATAGTAGTCCTTGATCACCTAACTAATATGTTACATCCCCAGTGCATCATATATTTAACAAACCTAAAATCACAAATTATGGTTTCAATTTCATCAAATAAAATGAGAAAAATCAAATCAAAACAAGCAAACGAATTAGCAAGACAAAAACTCTGAAGATCAGAAAATCTATACCTTTAATGCATACCCAATTGCACACTTCGTTAAACAAATTTTGAAAAAAAAAATAAAAAAAAATACAGAGAGTCCAAAAAATACAGAGACAGACAATTCAAGAATTCAAACAGGAAAAACCCTAACCAGGATCGCACTGCTGGTAAAAGTCTTCAACTTCTGCAACAGAAAAAGCAAAACAATAAAATCAGGACGATTAAAACAAAAGAAAAACAAAGACAAAGCAAAAACTGAAACATGAAAAAAAAAGGAGTAAAAACCTGTGGTTAGAGCTTTGATAAGGCCATTACGACGACCCTTGAAATCTCCGAAAACTTCTTCAACCGTACGAGGATTAAACTGTCCTCCCTCCATTTTTCAATTTCAACTTCAGAAAAAGAATAATTGGAAAAGGTCAGCAAAAGGCACGAAGTAAATTAAAATATAAGTGATGAGAGGGAAAATGAGGGTTTTAACAGATGGAATTGTCGGGTTATGTAGTGACAGAACGAAGATAAACTTTCGAAGATAGAAAGAGATCCGAAACAAGAATTTTTATAGAGTCCGATAACCCACCCACGCAGTTGCAAGTGTGATTTTGCATTCATACATGTGTGCACATGAAACTACACTTTTGCTCGATGCTCGTACAACAAAAAGGTATGCTCGTACAAAAAAAGAGTCAAGCCCATTAGTTGTCGAGTTTGAAAATTGAATTATTCTTTGTGATAAGGATAGGGGTTCATAGAACCCCATACAGACTACTCACAACAAGAATAATTCTTTAGAACCTCTATCTGTACATCAAGTATAATTCCTCACACCAAGAATAATTCCTCGGAATTCCTTAATAGCTATCCTATATATGTATTGCGTGTATATCATTGTGATCTGGAGCCAAATAGCTAAAAATTAATGCAAATGATATTGAATGAGTTTACTCGAAAAGACTAATCTAATCACTTCAATAGACATCAGTATGAACATTTCTTTAAAAAGGTACACCTCTCGATTACTATCCAATTCTATATATATGCTGATGTGTGCTTAATATTTCTGTTGTGAGGATTATCTACGATTAACGATTCACATAATTGGCCCCATATAGTCTCAATATTAGTAATCGCGGATAGATTTTGTAAGAGTCATTAGCTCTACATTAACTCGTGAGATAATAATAAGATTTTTTCATTTTTGAGATTCAAAGTTCAATTGAATTAGAACTTTCAAAGCATGATAACCTCTATAAATAGGCAACATAGTTTCAAGTACATTCATTTCTTCGTGAAATGCACAAAAATACAAATATAGTATATTATTTAGTACATGGGTCAAGAGTTGAAATCCGAAATATTTTATTATTTTTCTCATCATTATCATAAGATATGGTAAGTGTATAAGTATTTTTTTATGAAATTATATATGCACGTTAGATTTTTGGAACATTGATTATGAGATCTTTTATGTATGTTCTATGTTTGGACCGGAGTATAGTAATGTTACATATGAAAGTTTCATATAACCTATATTTGGTATAGATTTTCATATCTCGCTACATATTTGCTTATGTATAAAGTTTCTTAAATTCTGTACAAATATCAATCCATGTAATTATGTGCTTGTTATGATTTTGTGTCACACCTCCCTTTATCCCCTTTCAAGAAATTGATGGTTCATGACAATAAAGGCATGAAATGGCTGACAAATTGGCAAGTGAAAGAAACTCACCAAACTTATATTTTTTAAGAACTTATTTAATTTTGGTTTGATATACAGATTGATAAACTTCTAGTATTTTATTTTATGTTGACGTCAAAATTTTATGTATTTACTTTTACAATTTCATGATATCATTTAATAAATTTTAAGCTTTTGAAAGTTCAATATGCGATTTTTGTGGCATTCGAATTTTAGCAAAATAAGGGATATCCGACACAAATTAGAACAAAATAACACAACTATCAATAAATATAGCAAATAATCACCAAAAATATGAAAAATTGGGTAAACTGACTTGAAAATTGACTCGAAATTTTTTTTAAAAAAAATTGTTAGTAAAAGAAAAACAAATAGTGTGAATTTGAATTCAAATCTAAATTTTATTTGTGTACTCAATTGTAATGGACGATCGATGAATATGTTTTAGCAATAGTCGTTCAACACTTTAGTCAATTTGAAGGCTTTGCATTTGTGATGATTAATGGGTAGTTGTGTATGGTTTAATTAATAACTGCCTAGTTGAGTTGGATCTAACGTGAAGATATCTTTTAAATTGTGCAATGTTTAGTCTTAGGTTGAATTTATGCTTAGATTTTTTTCGTAACGATTTTACTGTTTGAAACGGTTTACAAATTTTGAAACCTAAATCAAACTACTTTGAAGGTGTTTGGTTTGATTCAGTTTAAAACTAAAAATGTTGACAAATTCACATGTACCCAAAGTCTAAACCAATGACTTCGAAAAAATGATTTAAGCTCTGGTATACGATATTGCGATTTCATTGTTTAGCCTTAGTTATTGTTGACCCCAGAATATGTTGCCAACAGATACCCAACCCACCTGCGTATACGTAAGCCTGGTCCAACATGCTAAGACACGTGGACAGTCTAGAAATAATAGCAAAAGGGAGCGTGGGAGCGACTCAAAGGCGCGGGACGAGAACGTTCAGAATCGGCGAGATGTTTGCATAAAGATTGTACAATAATTACCAATCGATGTTTGTAGAATGCGAGTATGAATTCATGTATGTTGCAAGAGAGTAAAATGTAAAGAATATTGTATTTGTTCTTGTGTTGAATCTTGCATTACCCTTATGAAAGATACATGGGGAGTATTTATAGTATTACAACTTAGATCGTGACCCTTAGTTGGGAGTACACTTGGCCTTATCTCGTAAGTTTACATGTCAAATTATAGGTATCACATTTGACTTCCTAGCCGACTACACATTTATTAGTTCGCGGCTCCGCCACTATATTGACAAGACAAGACGCTTAAACTCTAAGATGGGTGTCCCATCAATCCATTAGAAAGGATCCTTGTGTAAGATCGGATCTTTGGGGAGGAGTGCCGCTTAGAGCCTCAATGCCTCGGATAAGATGGGGCCTCGGCTAGAAGACCACATTGCTATTCACTTCTGCGTCGACACTTGGGCCACGTCATGGGGGTGGTTATAGTATGTTGGTCTTGGCCTAGGGCCTTGGATAAGATGTCACGTGGTTCAGTATAAGTGGGTCTTAGGCCCCAGGAGTTCGGTCAAGTGTGTCAACACGTAATAACAGTCTCCCAAGCCCAAAATATAGTCATTTATGTAATGCGTAGACTTTTAGTGGTGAAGCATGTGGAATTTTTGTACCCTGAATAATAGCCCCCCAAGTCCAAGTATAAATATTTATATCATGGTTGGAGTTGAAGTGTTGGTGTTCGGATTAGCATGTGAGGTTATGAAGTTGTGTTGTCGAGTCGGTCACTGTCGAGGCTTCGGAAGCTGCCGAGGCTTGTGAAGATGCCGAGGCTTGTGAAAATGCTAAGGCTTCTGAAGTTGCCTTGCCAAGGCTTGTGAAGGTGCTGAAATGTGAAGGAGCAGAGGAAGTCGGGGCGGTGAGGGGATCGAACCTGCTGAGACTTGTAAAGCTGAAATGTGACGAAGTAGAGGAAGTCGAGGCAATGGGGAGGATTGAAGATGCCGAGGCTTGTGAAAATGCTGAGGCTTCTGAAGTTGCCAAGGCTTGTGAAGGTGCTGAAATGTGACGAAGCGGAGGAAGCCAGGACGGTTAGGGTATCGAACCTATCGAGGCTTGTGAAGCTAAAATGTGACGAAGTAGAGGAAGCTGAGATGGTGAGTGAAGTATTGATTGTCTTCGATGTTCGTACTAATGATTTGATATTTTGTGCAAGTTACCAAGAAAAGGCAGTCGAGCTGTTGCTACTTCCAAGGCACGTACGGCTGCTGCATTAAATGTGCAATGATGCCTATAGCTAGGGCTTCTAAAAGGGGACGCGTTTGGGGAGGTGCGTGAGGAGCACGTTTGAATCTGAGGCGTAGGTTTCAAAACGATTTGAATTCTACACTTCGGATTTAACCTACGATTGGAGGGCTGAGATTTCATGGTGCCTTCATCCGAGGGCTGGGGTTCGTCTTGGCTTCCTATAAAAGGCCAAAGCTTTGCATTGTGAACCCTTCTTCACTTTAAACTTCTGTGTTCTCAGAATCTTCTTAAGCTTTCGGCGTCGAAAGTCTTGCTCTGATTTCAAACTCCGACGTGTCGGAGTTCGTCGTTTGTTAGTTGTTTCTGTAGGTGTTCCTTGCAAGAATAATTTCTTTTGCAATCTTTGTCGATTTTCCAAATTTTGTAATATGGAGTCTAGTTCGGGTAGGGAATTGATGACCATAGCTAGGTTGGGTGAGGGGGCTATTTTGAGTGGGGGCTCCGAGGTGGAGTATTATGCCATGGCTGAGGAGCCTATAGATTATGAGGAAGAATGGGGGCTGCTAGAATACCATCAAACATAACCTTGAAGAAGTTGGAGGAAATTAGGGAGAAATATTGTGTCCCTCATTGTGTGGAGATGCTAGTTCCCGAGGCCCATGAAAGGGCTTGTTTTCTGAGGCCTGGATGTGTGGCTGTAAGTGAATACCTATTCAAAACAGGTATGCGTCTTCCTCTGCACCCCTTTTTTAGGGTTGTGCTTAGGAATTTTATGTTGTCACTGACCCAAGTTCTACCGAATGGGTAGAGCCAGCTAGTGAGGTCATACTTCTTATGGAAAGAAGTGTCGTTAGGGAAAAACATGTCTCTGCACGTCTTTCAGACCCTTTTTTAGCCTCGCGTCGTAGGTAAAGACGAGTCGAGGGGGTGGTATTACATCACACCCTGGGGGCTCATGCACCCTTTGTGGTGGGGCTGCCTTCTTCCATCAAGGGATGGAAGGAGTCCTGGTTATGGGTTCGGAGAAAGTGGCAAGTGGTTGAGGGGAACAAGGCCGCAACTTGCACAGTACCGACCCAGTACTACGAAGCTCGTGAGTGTCAAAGCTTGAGATGTTTACATTTTGCTAAGTTTCTCAATTTTTTGTTAACTGTTGCCACTTATTTTGTAAATTCCAGTACGCGGTTTGAGCTCAGCAAGGGGAAGTTCGAGGTCATCGGGAAGATATATAAGAGGCCTTTGAAACTTCGCCACTTCAACCACCTCATTGACCGAAGCCGATACTTCGTGGATTTCGAACTGATGGCCTCCAAGGGTAAGAAATGCATCCAATTGATCAAATTTGTACTTGTTTGATACAGTACTGACCTATTGTGTCTTCGCAGATAAATTCAAGAAAAGAGAGTACCCTGTCCCAGACATGGCTTCAATTCTAAGGAGCGAAAGTCGAGCTCTAGTGTGGCGAAGGAGGTTAGAAGTTAGCTGAAGAGGTTGTCAAAGGATGACACTTCTAGGGGGTCAAGAGAGGAGGCCTCCCAAAGAGTTGAAAAAGGCTAAGGAGCCTCGGGGTAAGGAGAAGGTCCCCGAAGACTCCCATAAGAAGAGAAGGTTGGTTAACGTTACCAGTTCTTCCAAAAAGTT